CTTCCGAGTAGCCGGAATTACAGGTATGTGCTACTACGCCCGGCTGATTTTTTGATTTATTGTAGAGATGAGGTCTCAGTGCCCAGGCGGGTCTTGAACCTGCGGGGTCAGGCAGTCCACTCACCTCAGCCTCCCAAAGGTGCGGGATTATAGGCTGAGCCACCGAGCCCGGCTAAATTTTTTAAATTTATTGTAGAGATGAGGTCTCGCCAAGTCACCCAGGTGGGTCTCAAACCAGTGGGCTCAGGCAATCCACTCACCTTTCCCTTCTGGCCTCCCAAAGTGGTGGGATTACAGGCTGAGTCACTGAGCCCAGCCCACCACATTTCTAAATATTCTGGAATTGGCAGTGTGGGGTGGTCATGTAGAAGAGGTGGTAAGATGCACTGACATAAGGAAGATGGATGGAAAGCCCACTGAAGAAACAATCACATTCTCAGGCCCTCTCCTTTAATCCCTACAACCAGATGACTTCCCTCTCCAATGCCAGCGAAGCCTAGAGCCTGAGTTTCTCTATAGTCAAGCTCATAATCAACGCGATGTATTCACATGCTGAGCTCCCCCTCAGCCATGTGGTCTCCCAATCTTAAATCTGAGACAGCTGTGTCAGAGGAACACCAAAACAAAGAAGCCAACAATAAAAGAGAGGGACAAAGCAGAAAAGAAAACTTCAAAAGAAAAAAATGCAAATTTTAATATTCTCAAGTTGAGAAAACAATATTACAACCACAAAATAAGGACAGAATACTATGTATAAAAAGAATATTCAGAGAACAAAAGCACATTTTTAAAAAATTAAAACTATAACAGCACACATGAAAACAGTAAGACTAGAAGATGAATCTGAGTAAGTTTTCTAGAAAGTAGAGTAAGAAGATAGAGAAATTTAAAATGTGAGTGAAGACAAGAAGATGACAGGGCAGATTTTAAAATCTCATATTCAAATAATAGGAGTTTCACAAAAGAGAACAGAAAATGAAATTTAATAATTTAATAAAATTTGCTAGATCAGAAGGACACAAATGTCCTCTCACAGAGGACTCGACACAATAAATGAAAACAGATACCCAGCAAGGTACAGATTTGTGAAATTTTACACCAATGGAGACAAAAAGATCTTATAAGCTTCTGGAGAAAAAAAAGTCACACAAAACGGTACAGAAAAAAGAATGGCTTTGGAATTCCTAACAGCAACACTAGAAGCTGGAAGATAATTCTTTAAAATTTCTGAAGTTAAATCATATAGAGTTCTATATCCAAAACTAACATCAATCAAATGTGAAGGCAGAATACAGGTATCTTCAGATGCAAAATTTTTAAATGTTGACCTCCATGGACCCTTTCTTGAGAAGCTCTGAGAATGAATTCTACCAAAATAAGGGGGTAAAGCAAAAAACCAAATCAAACACCATGTACTCTAGCGCTGGAAACAGAAGATGGTAGTGAAGGGCAATCACAGAATGACAGTTGTGCCCCAGAGCAGAGGAGGAAAAAGACTCCTCAGGAGATTCCTTCAGAAAGTGGAAACCCATGACATACCTGATGGATCTGAACTGAATGTCTTTTTTTGTTTTTTTGAGTTGGAGTCTCACTCCATCACCCTGGCTGGAGTGCAGTGGCACGCTCATGGTCACCCCAGCATCGACCTGCTGGGCTCAGGCAATCCTTCCGCCTCAGCCTTCCAAATGGCTGGAACTACAGGTGCACGCTAACATGCCCAACAAATTTTTTTTTTTTTTTTTGAGTTGGAGTCTCACTCTGTCACCTAGACTGGAGTGCAATGGCCACTCCTGGCCACCGCAGCCTCGACCTACTGGGCTCCGGTGATCCTTCCGCCTCAGCCTTCCAAGTAGCTGGAACTACAGGCGCGCGCTACCACGCCTGGCTAATTTTTTTTGATTTATTGTAGAGATGAGGTCTCGTCAAGTTGCCCAGACGGGTCTCGAACCCGCGGACTCAGGCAATCCACTCAACTTGGCCTCCCAAAGTGCTGGGATTACAGGTTTGAGCCACTGCACCTGGCCTTGAACTGAATGTCTTTAGAGGTGATTCAGACAATTGGTAAAGAGTATGGAGCTCAATTAATTGTTAAGTGTACAGAAAATAAAGCAAATGAAAAAGGAGGGCAATTATTAGCTGAGGAAAAACAACATGTAATGGAAGTGAAAAGTAAAGACAGTTTACTCCTTTATTTATTATAGGACTTTGCTGTACATTTCATTATGTATAGAGTCACAATAATGTAAACACTGAACACTGATCTAAGAAATATTATAATCTGACTATATTAAGAAGATGGGAGAAATGAAAAAAAGGTATGGGTATATGGTGGGAATGAGGGAGGAGAGACAGCTAGCGTCCCATCTTCAATAGCAGGAAATTAAAAGATACAGCTGGAATCTAAAAAATTAAGTAGGAGTAATACAGCCAAGTTATAATAGAGACATGGAAGTAAATACCAAACAATAACAAATGACAACAAAAAACAAAGCTAAAAGAAATGAAAGTGCCTGCCTGTGGGGAAGATGAGGGGAAGTGGAGGCAACTACAATTTCTCATAATAAACTATTTGGTGCTTTAAACTGTATGTATGTATAATATTGACAAAAATTTTTGGGAAACGTACATAGTCACAATGCTTATCTTCTGTTGTTTAAAAAAAATGAAATAAATTTTTTTTTAACTCTAAGATATCTTTACTTCTGAAACTTATCTTTTTGTACAATGGTATAGAATACTTTACAAATGTAACTGAGACCCAGGAGCAAAGCAGTTCACCCAAGGATTCACAATGACTTAGCAAAAATTTTTTCTTTCTTTTAAAAATTTTTTTAAGCCGGGTTCGGTGGCTCAGCCTGTAATCCCGTGCCTTTGGGAGGCTGAGGTGAGTGTATTGCCTGAGCCCCGGGTTCGAGACCCACCTGGGCAACTTAGCAAGACCTCATTTCTAGAATAAATCAAAAATTAGCCAGGCATGGTAGCACGTGCCTGTAGTTCCAGCTACTTGGAAGGCTGAGGCGGAAGGATCGCTGGTGCCCAGCAGGCGAGGCTATGGTGGCCGGGAGCAGGCACTGCACTCCAGTCTAGGCAACAGAGTGAGACTCCAACTCCAAAAAAAAAAAAAAAATTTTTTTAGAGATGAGGTCTCGCCATGTTGCCCAGGCTGCTCTGGAATCCCTGGACTCAGGCAACCCTCTCACCTCTGCCTCCCAAAGTGCTGGGATTACAGGCGTGAGTCACTGTACCCAGCAACTTGGCAAATTATCAACTATGTTCAAACAGAAAAAGAAATCAGGGCTGGGTCAATGGCTCACAACTGTAATCCTAGTACTTTGGGAGACTGAGGTGGGAGAATTGTTTGAGACCAGGAATTTGAGACTAGTCTGAGCAACACAGAGAGACCGCAACTCTACAAAAAAATTAACTGGATGTGGTGGCAGGTGCCTGTAGTCCTGGCTACTTGGAAAGCTGAGGAGGGAGGACTGCTTGAGCCCAGGAGTTGGAGGCTACGGTGAGCCATGGTCAGGCCACTGCACTCCAGCCTGGGTGACAGAATGAGACTCCAACTCAAAAAAAAAAAAAGAAAAGAAAAAGAAAACAGGTTTTTCAGGGCGGTCAATTCACCTACCTGATGAAAGAAGTAGGTAACAGCAAGGTCATTGTCATTCAGAAGGATTTCTTCTTCTGTTGTGAAAAGCCACTTCCGAATGGTCAAGCAGGTGCCTGGCACAGCTGATGTGTAATTCTGGACGTAGAGTTTGTGGGGAAATTCATTAGGTGCCAACTTACGTACTGAAGGAAAAACAAATACAGAAAGTTAGAGCGAAAAAAATATAAGAAATTTCCCTAGACAATAACCAGAACATCAGCTCACATCCATCAAGGAGCTCTGCCTTGGGAGCATAAAACAGCCAATTGTCTAACCAAATCTAACCCTTCTAGCTCTGACTATGGCCAGTCAAGTCTCAAGCAAATCGAAACCTATCACTTGAATGACGGTTGCCATGGTTTAGATATCTGTCCCCTCTAAAGCGCATGCTGAAATCTGATCCCCAGTGTTGGAGGTAGGGGCTAATGGGATCTCTGCACACACCATGAGTGAAAGCAACCTGACGCCCTCAACAGATGCCCAGTCCCGAACATTCCAGAACACAGAATCATGAGCCAAATAACCCTTTTTTTTAAATAATTACCCAGCCTCGGGTATTCCTATAACAATACAAAAGGGCCTAAGACACAGATCCTTCAGTTGACATGACTTTGCAGACAGCACCAACTCCAATTCAGCTAGTAATTTATAGCTGATGTCCACTGAACATCTTTCCCAGCTACAGTGCATCCATAGTCTCTCATGTGGCAATTCTCAATGAACTGCTTTTATTGTTAAGTGCTGAAAGGCTCTTCCCACCCCACCCCCAAAGCCCTAAGTGCAAAGTGTATTCTGAGTGATGTTACTTCCTCTTCCTAACAATCACACAAGCAGGATAAAACCACCAATCTTAATTTCTATACTGCCTTTCCTTGGAAAGGCTGAGTTTTCTCCTCTCTTGATGTTTACTTGTCTTTATAACACTACAAAAGACAGATTTAATATTTCCCATGTTTAGAGAAACTAAAGCTTAGAAAAGGATAAGAATCCAAGTGTCCTGGTACCCTAGTAATCCTTTGTTTTTTAACAATGATGAAGGCAGCTGGAATTTATTTCAATTCTTATGAGCCAGACATGTGCACAAGTTTACTGTACATATTATATCTCACTGAATTCTCACAACAACTGGAGGTAGGGACTGTCACTGGTTCCATCTTACATCTGAGAAACTGAGGTTCAGAGGGTAAAGTCTGGTGCTTTCAGTCACAAAGCTACAAAGTGGCAGGGATGGATTGGAACCTTTGAACCTGCTTTCTAAAATACTCTGCTACATGGTCTTGTTGGAAGGGTCTCTCTTTTTTTTTTTAAGAATGAATATATATTGCATTCTTTTAAAAAATTACTTTATAGTCATAGGGTACAGGTAGGGATTTACTACATAAGTATGTGGCATGCAGGTGAAGTATGGGTTTCTTTTTTTTTTTTTTGAGCTGGAATCTCACTCTATCGCTCAGACTGGAGTGCAGTGGCCACTCCCCGCCACCGCAGTCTCGCCTGCTGGAATCCAGTGATCCTTCTGCCTCAGCCTTCCAAGTAGCTGGAACTACAGGTGCGCGCTACCACGCCTGGCTAATTTTTTTTGATTTTGTAGAGATGAGGTCTCGCCAAGTTGCCCAGGCGGGTCTCGACCCCGCGGGTTCAGGCAATCCACTCACCTCAGCCTCCCAAATGCACAGGATTACAGGCTGAGCCACCAAGTCCGGCTATGTATGGGTTTCTAGCTGGCCCTCTCTCTGCATGATAGTAGACCAAGTACCCAATGTGTTGCCACATGCTCCCCTCCCCCCTCCTTTCCCCCCTCCCTCTTCAGGCAGTGTCCAGTATCTGCTGATCTCACACTTGTGCTAGCGTGACTAGTGTTCAGGGTCCGCTTATAAATCAGAATATGTGGTATTCACTTAGTATGATGGTCTCCAGCTGCATCCAAGTTGCTGCAAAGGCCATGATTTTGTTCTTCTTTATGGTTGCATAATATTCTTATCGTGTATATACACCACATTATCTTTAGCCAGGTCACTTTCAGCAGACATCTGGATTGCTTCCATGTTATTGCTATTGTGAATAGTGCTGCAATAAACATGTGTGTGCAGGTGCCTATTTTTGTAAAGCAATTTACGTTCCTCTGGGTATATTCCCAGGAGGCATGTTGTTGGATTGTATGGAAGTTCAATTTTTAGTTCTTTGGGGAATTGCCACACCAATAGTTTACGCTGGTGAACTAGGATGAAATAGTTTACGTTCCTACCAACAGTGTTGAAGCATCCCCTTTTCTCCACAGCCACACCAGGACCTGCTATTTTTTGACGTATTAATGATGGCCATCCTTACTGTTGTTAGGTGGTATCTCATTGTAGTTTTGGTTTGCATTTCTCTGATGATTAGTGAGTCTGAGCATCTTTTCATGTGTTTATAGGCGGCTTGCATGTCCTCCTTTGAGATGTGTCTGTTCATGTCCTTTGTCCACTATTTAACGGAGTTATTTGTATTTTTCCTTTCATTTCATTTGAATTCCTTGTAGATTCTGGATATTAGGCCTTGTCCGATGCATAGTTTGCAAATATTTTTTCCCATTCCATAGGTTGTCTCTTTACTCTTTTGATGGTTTCTTTTGCTGTGAAAAACTTTTCAGTTTGATAAGGACCCACTTGTCTATCTTAGCTTTTACTGCAATTGTTTTTGAGCTCTTGGTCATGAATTCATTGCCTGCTCCTACATCCAGAATATATCCAGAAGGGTGTTCCCTACATTTTCTTCTAAGATTCGTATAGTCTGAGGTCAACTTTGAGTTGATTTTTTTTTTTTGCGTTGGAGTCTCACTCTGTTGTCCAGGTTGGAGTGCAGTGGCACACTCACAGCTACTGCAGCCTTGACCTGCTGGGCTCCGGCGATCCTTCCACCTCAGTCTTCCAAGTAGCTGTAACTACAGATGCACACCACCACACCCGGCTAGTTTTTTGTGATTTATTGTAGAGACAAGGTCTCAACTCCTGGACTCAGGCAATCCTCTTGCCTCGGTCTCCCAAAGTGCTGGGATTATAGGCTGAGCCACCACGCCTGGCTGAGTTGATTTTTTTATATGGTAATAGGTAGGGGTCCAGTTTCATGCTTCTGCATGTGGCTAATCAGTTTTTTCAGAACCATTTGCTAAATATGGTTTACTTTCCCCGGTGTTTGTTATTGATGGTTTTGTCAAAGATGAGTGGTTGAGGGACTGATTTTTTATTTCTGGATTCTGTCCTGTTCCATTGGTCTATGTGCCTATTCCTATACCAATCCCATGCTGTTTTGATTACTATAGCCTTGCAATATAGTTTAAAGTCTCAAAGCGTGATACCTCCAGCTTTGTTCCTTTTGCTGAGGATTGCTTTGGCTATTTGAGTTCTTTTCTGTTTCCATATGAAATTCTGTATTATCTTTCCTAGGTATGTGAAAAATGATGTTGACAATTTGTTAGGGATAACATTGAATCTGTAGATTGCCTTAGGTAGGATGGCTATCTTGACAATATTGATTCTTCCAATTCATGAGCATGGGATGTTTTTCCATTTGTTTGTGTCATCCTTGATTTCTCTGAGCAGTGTTTTATAGTTCTCATTGTAAAGGTCTTTCATTTCTCTGGGGTTTTTTTGGTTTGTTTGTTTTGGGGTTTTTTTGAGTTGGAGTCTCACTCTGTCGCCCAGACTGGAATGCAGTGGCTGCTCCCGGCCACCGCAGCCTCGACCTGCTGGGCTCCGGCCATCCTTCCGCCTCAGCCTTCCAAGTAGCTGGAACTACAGGCGCGTGCTACCACGCCCGGCCAATTTTTTGATTTATTGTAGAGATGAGGTCTCGCCTGCCCAGGCGGGTCTTGAACCCGCGGGCTCAGGCAATCCACTCACCTTAGCCTCCCAAGGCGTGGGATTATAGGCTGAGCCACCGAGCCCGGCTTATTTCTCTGGTTAGGTGGACGCCAAAGTATTTCTTTTTGTGTGTGTGTAGCTATTGTGAATGGGATTGTGTTTTTTATTTGGTTCTCAGTCTGCCTGATGTTGGTGTATAGAAATGCAACCGTGTTTTGTGCACTGATTTGTATACCGAGACTTTACCAAAGTCATTTATCAGTGTGAGGAGGTTTTTGACAGACTTTCTAGGGTTTTCTAGGTATAGAATTATATCATCCACAAAGGGTGACAGCTTAACTTCCTCTTTTCCTATTTGGATACCCCTGATTTCCTTCTCCTGCCTGACTGCTCTGGCTAGGACTTCAGTACTGTTGAATAGGAGAGAGGAGAGTGGGCATCCTTGTCTTGATCCAGTTCTTAGAGGGAATGCTTCCAGATTTTGCCCATTAAATGTTGTTGGCTGCAGGTTTGTCATAGACAACTCTTATTTAGTTTTGAGGACTGTTTCTTTGATGCCGAGGTATTCGAGGGTTTTTATCAAGAAGGAATGCTGGATTTTATCGAATGCTTTTTCTGCATCTAATGAGATAATCGCATGGTTCTTGTTTTCACAGCTGTTAATGGTCTTGCAAATGTTGAACCAGCCCTACATCCTGGGAATGAAACCTGCCTGGCTGTGGTGAATGATCCTTGAGATGTGTTGTTGGATATAATCCCCTTAGCAATCCTTTGTAACATAATTTATATCTGCCTAGTTAGGCTGCTGGGAATTGGTAAGAAAAAGAATAATAGGGAGATGGCTGCTTGAGGAGAATCAAAATTCTGCCTGGACCTATGATGGCAAGGCAGCCCAAATATAACAAGCTCTTCCCCTTTCTGGGATGAGGAAGGTCTGATCAACTAATAATATCTATGTCATTTCTGGACTTAGCCCTGTATAAATATGTTTGATAGGGAAGAGAGACCCACAGACTGGAGGAAATCTATGTCATTCAGAGTAAGTCTTCAGACTCGCTCCCCTTTGTAGTCTCAATACAACCAATGTGGCCACCATCCCATCCCTAGCTTTTTTTTTTGAGGTGCAGTCCTACTCTGTTGCCCAGGTTGGAGTGCAGTGGCACGCTCATGGCCACCCCAGAGTTGACCTGCTGGGCTCCAGTGAACCTTCCGCCTCAGCCTTTCAAGTAGCCGGAACTACAGGTTGCGCTACCATACCTGGCTAATTTTTTAATTTATCGTAGAGATGAGGTCTCGCCAAGTTGCCTAGGCTGGTCTCAAACCCGCGGGCTCAGGCAATCCACTTGCCTTGGCCTCCCAAAGTGCTGGGATACAGGCTTAAGCCATATTTGGTTTTCAAGGTTTTTTTTTTTGAGTTGGAGTATTACTCTGTCATCCAGGCTGGAGTGCAGTGGCACGCTCACAGCCACCGCAGTGTCGAACTGCTGGGCTCCGGTGATCCTTCCATCTCAGTCTCCCAAGCAGCCAGCATGTGCTACCACACCTGGCTAATTTTTGATTTATTGGAGAGATGAGGTCTCGCCAAGTTGCCCGGGCTGGTCTCTAACCCGCAGGCTCAGGCGATTCACTTGCCATAGCCTCCCAAAGTGCTGGAACTACAGGCTGAGGCATCAAGTCCGGCCCATCCCTAGCTTTTATAAGAGAACTTCCTGTCATCATGCAATAAAGTATTACTGGAAGAGGAACTGTATTCACCTAGAAACTTAAACGTATGTATTAAAACAAAGGCTTTTAAGCAATATAGCTCTTTCTAACTTCTGAAAACAAAAAGATATGCTTAAAAGTCTTTTTAAAATAATAAAGCATACTAAAACAACATGTGGCTAAAGAGAATATCCCATTTCTTAAGGCTATTTCACTGGAATATAAGAATTTTGAACCTCTGACTTTAAATAACTTCATGAAAGTATCTAATATTGCGTGCTTATAACCTATACTTGCAAAAGAGGAAAAAGATTAGACATCCTTATGTCTTGGGCTTCATGGACTATGCCTGGCCTGCTTGTTAGCGACAGTCCTAATGAGTGAGATCTACCCTTGTCTTCAAGCACTTCTCTAGGCAAACAGTTTCAGTCTCACCATATTAGAATAAAATATCCCCAAAGAAAACTTAATATTAGCTACTGGTACTTACCAAAGGAATGATTGATCACTTCAAATAAGGCAAAGTAATTCACTGTCGTACTGTCCATGCCAACCTTAGCTGCAATAGCCTAAGGTATCAATAGGATAGATTAGTTTCAGGAAAACGAAATCACAATGCTGTGGGAAAAGGCAGGTATATGCATAGGTGTGAGGGGGAAGAGGTTTTGCCATTTGGCTTCACAAAAATCACCCTCTTGGTCCATAGCTACCCTTCTTTATATACATATGTACATTCATGCATGTATACATAAGTTTAAAACAAAAGGGAAAAAATACCTATATCTGATCCAAACAGCTGTGATCTCTAAATATGAGTTTCTGCCTTCCAATATAATCTGTTAATAGTCTCTCCTTAAACATCAGCTTTCCCCTCTGAAATATGACTTCATTCCATACAGGTCTTTTTGGGTTTTTTTTGAGTCGGCATCTCACTCTGTCGCCCAGACTGGAGTGCAGTGGCCGCTCCCGGCCACCGCAGCCTCCACCTGCTGGGCTCCGGCGATCCTTCCAATCTCAGCCTTCCAAGTAGCTGGAACTACAGGTGCGTGCTACCACGCCTGGCTAATTTTTGATATATTGTAGAGATGAAGTCTCGCCAAGTTGCCCAGGCGGGTCTTGAACCTGTGGGCTCAGGCAATCCACTCACCTCAGCCTCCCAAAGCACAGGATTATAGGCTGAGCCACCGAGCCCAGCTCATACAGGTCTTTTTTTAACACCACTTACAAGAAATGTGTTTGACAGAATAGACCCTAAAAAGAAAACAAATTCTCAACTATCCAGTTTCACACATTCAAACTACATTTAACATAGGCCATTAACACACAAGATCTACATCTTTGCTTCTCAAACTTAAAATATTGTTTGTCAATTTATTCAGGCTACATAATTATTTTTGTTTATTTTCCAGATGATCCATGTCTCAGGCTGGGATCACTAGGCACCTCCATTTCCTAAGAATTACCATTATCAATATCCACATAAAAATAGCTAAATGTTGGGACAACAGAGGTATATTAAACAAGAATCAGTCATTCTCTCTAGGAACTAAAGTCCTAACATGACAAATAAAAAGGCAATTGAAAGACTTTGTATGCAAATAAATGTCAATTGAAATTACATACAAACAACCACAAAGCATAAAGTGAAAAACAAATTAGTAGTAACAAATTTCCCTTTCAAGATCAATCCCAATATAAATAAGGTATTTACTGAACTGCCAAATAGCAGTACCTCAGTAAACCAAATATGATTATATCCCTTCTTTCTCATATCTGCTCACATATCAGGCTTAGGAATGTGATGTGATGTAGGAATCAGAGAGTGTAAATGTTCCAAAATTACCATTCTATACGACACTGGATAGAAACTGAAATGCTCTCAAGGTTTAGAAAATGGCTTATAGCTAGAAGTCTCAGTGATGCAGTGGGAGGAGGGGAAGTATAAAAAGTTTAGGCCTTGCTAAAGAAGCTTTGGAAAAAAGCAAACAAAACAAAACATCAGCAAGCTGTAAAACCAGTATTTTTCTTACAATTACTACACCAGTGTATAATTTTAGAAATGCCTCAAATCCTGCACATATCCTCTGCCACAGTATACAGTAGATAAATAAATGTATAATAGATAGATTTTTTTTTTAATGTTTGCTACAAAAGAGAAATAAGCATTAATACCCAGAAACCTGTTTGAATCTCTGAAACTACTGATGAAGTAGGATTAAAGGCCAACGTAAAGGCCTGCAGGCGACGATTACACCCAACACCCAGATCAGGATCCTTAAAGGACATCTCTCACTGAAAAAAGAGAACTCCTTGGGGAAATGGCTTATACTAGATCTAGTGTAGGAAATATACAAAGAGGAGACCAGGACATCTTATTGTACCAAAAAGCAGGGATGCTATCCTAAAATATTGCAGCTGGGCTCAGCACTTTGGGAGACCAAGGCGAGGGGATTGTCTGAGCCCACGAGTTCAAGACCAGCCTGGGCAACTTGGCAAGACCTCGTCTCTACAATAAATTAAAAAAAAAATTAACCGGGTGTGATAGCACACACCTGTAGTTCCAGCTACTTGGAAGGCTGAGGTGGAAGGATCACCTGAGCCCAGCGGGTTGATGCTGGGATGGCCATGAGTGTGCTACTGTACTCCAGCGTGGGCAACAGAGACTACAACTCAAAAAAAAAAAGGGTTGCAGAAAAGGTATACAGGAGCAGACATGAAGGAGCTTCCATTGGCCAAAGATGGAACAATCTGAGCACCAAAAACATAATATATCACACTAAATCTAAAAATTCATACTAAATAAATAAAATCTAACAATGATTTCATTAGACATCACTGGAAGCAATTAGGGCACCAATTCTTTATTTCGAAAATTGGCAATAAAAGGTAAGAATATTTATCCTGTCTTTCCCACAAACTGTATTTCAAGATAACTAGCCTTAGCTGATAAGAAAAAGTTATTTTTAGAGGAATTCTAGTTAATAAGTGTGAAGAAATGAGAGTAATCAGCATTTTAAAAACTCTAATGAAATAATTAAGGCAATAATCAATGAGGAACTTTACAATGGAGAGATTGAGTTCTCACTACCTAAACCTACTGATTACCCTTAGTACCACTAAAGTGGAATGACCAGATGACACAGTGCATTTTCTGCTGAGAAGTAATATGAGATATATAGCACCAATTATGAAATACTCTTATCAAAAAAGCACAATCTGAATCTAATCAAGCCTCTAGAGCAAACTTCCATTTATAGAAAGTATAGGGAGAGAGAGGACATATTAAATGACACTACAAGGAAACAAACAGATAAATTCAGAATGTGGGACATTCCACAGGACACTGACCCATTTCTGCAACAAAACAATGACATGGAAAAAAAAAGTTGGGAGGAAAAGACAAAATGCATTACATTAAAACAAACATCAAGTCGGTGGTTCAGCCTATAATCCCAGCACTTTGGGAGGCCAAGGCAAGTGAACAGCCTGAGCCCGTGGGTTCAAGACCAGCCCAGGCAACTTGGCGAGACCTCATCTCTACGATAAATAAAAAATTAGCCGGGCGTGGTGGCGTGCACTGGCTACTTGGAAGGCTGAGGCGGAAGGAGCGCCAGAGCACAGCAGATTGACATGGGGGAGGCTGTAAGCATGCCACTGCACTCGAGCCTGGGCGACGGAGTGAGACTCCAACTCAAAAAAAAAATCAAAATCAAATGTGGCTTAACCCTGTAATCCCAGTATGTTGGGAGGCCAAGGCGAGAGGATTGCCTGAGCTCAGGGGCTCGAGACCAGCCCAGACAACTTGGTGAGATCTTGTCTCCAAAATAAATCAAAAATTAGTAAGGCGTGTTAGCAAGTGCCTGCAGTTCCAGCTACTTGTAAGGCTGAGGCAGAAGGATCACCTGAGCCCAGCAGGTCGAGGCTGCGGTGGTCATGAGCATATCATTGCACTCCAGCCTGGGCAACAGAGTGAGACTTCAACTCCAAAAAAAAAAAAAACCCAAATGTGATATAAAGGCCTTGTTTAGATTCAGATTTTAACAAACCAACTGTACGAAAACTCATTTTCAGACAACTGGAAAAACCTGACTATGGAGTAGTTATTTGTTTTTGTTTTGTTTTGTTTTGTTTGAGCTGGAGTCTCACTCTGTCGCCCAGACTGGAGTGCAGTGGCCGCTCCCGGCCACCGCAGCCTAGACCT